CATCATCACCATCGCCATCACCATCATCTAGTCTACATATCAATCATCATCATCATCATCATCATCATCATCATCATCAGCATCATCATCATCATCATCATCATTCACATCATCGTCATCATCCCTCATCGACCACCATCCATCATCATTCACCATCGATCCGCCTCATCATCAACATCATCAACACCAACATCACCATCACCATCATCATCATCATCACCGACATCCATCATAACATCATCATCAACAACAACATCATGATACCGAAGAAACCACACCAATCAAAGTCTGTTCCGGGCTATAGGACTATGGGGCGATTATGCGATAGGTCGATGGTGCTGTAGGCCTATCGTGTTCTAGCGCTATAGGGCCATAGGGCTGTAGGTCTGTAGGGCTATGAGGCTATAGGGCCATAGGGCTACAGGGCTGTAGGGCTATAGGACTGTGGGGCCCTGGGGCTATGGTGCAATAGGGCCATAGGTCTATGAGTCTGTAGGGCTATGAGGCTATAGGGCTACAGGACCATAGGGCTATAGGGCCATAGGGATATAGGGCTATAGGCATATGGAGCTATAGGGCTAATGGGCCATAGAGCTATAGGGCTATAAGGCTATAAGGCTACAGGGCTATAGGGCTACAGGGCTATAGGGCTATAGGGCTACAGGGCTATTGAGCTATTGGGCTATAGGGCTAGAGGGCTATAGGGCTGTGGGGCTATAAAGGGTGTTGGGCTCTAGGGAAATAGGGCTATAAGGCTACAGGGCTATAGGGCTATAAAGCTATAGGGCTCTAGGGCTTTAGGGCTATAAGGCTTAAGGGTTAAAGGGCTATATGTCTGCTGGGCTTTAGGGCTGTAGGGCTATGGGGCAATAGGGCTATAAAGCTATAGGGCTCCCCAACACCCGGGCACCCGGGCGGGCCGCGGACATCGGAATCAAAACTCACCTAACCATATGAATCCGCTAGGACCCCTACAGGGGCAAGCACTGATTGGGGAATCATTAGTTTTGGTAGTGCTACCATCACCAATAACAAGACAATCCTGCGCATCACCATCCTCCTCCTCCTCATCATCAGCATCATCATCATGATCAGAATCGTCATCATCATCATCAGCATCATCAGGAGCATCATCATCAGCATCAGCAGCGGCATCATCATCACCAGCAGCATCATAAGCATCAGCATCATCAACAGCATCATCAACAGCAGCATCATCACCATCATCAGCACCAACATCATCATCCTCATGATCCCTACCATCATCATCATCATCATCATCATCATCAGCATCATCATCATCATCATCATCATCATAATCATCATCACCATCATCATCATCATCATCATCAACATCAACAACATCACCAACACCATCAAATCATAACCGAAGTAGGGGCCCTGAATGTGACTCGGGGTGGGGAAGAAGAGGAGGGGGGTGAACGGGTGGGTGGGAGTCCTCGGCGCGGTCGGAGAATAACATGACTCCTTTGGGTATAATGCACAAGGACCAAATCCTTTGGATATGGGGAACGGGAACCCCAACCGTCGGATATGCGGAACAAGAGTCTCATCCTGTGGATGTGGGATCATCCTCATCCTCATCCTCATCATCCTCATCCTCATCCTCATCCTCATCCTCATCATCCGCATCCTCATCCTCATCCTCATCCTCATCCTC